CATCCTGCGTCCGATGTGAAAGGACTTTTATGCTGCGCACTGTGACTCACAGCAATGGTCCCGGGTCAGCCCTGACGTTGTGTTAAACTAATCCTAAAGTAATAATGTATTTCTAACCACTGATATACCACAACTTCATCCTTTCAACAGCTGCTGAAAGTTAGGGGACCTAGCTGCTATCAGATATTTATATAGAGATCCTCCAGCTTCAAACTGTATTACCCTTCAAGGACCTGCAGTTCAAAAAAGTGCCCCTCCGACAGCCAAACCCATCTGTTCTCTGATTGGATTGTTTCATTTGTGATTGACATGACATTGACCAATCAGCATAAAGGAAGAAAAATAGGGTCAAAATTCGTAGTTGTGACTTGCAGAGTTTTTGGGCTAAGTCCACACACAAATCTTTTTTACAAGTACAAAATATTTATGACCACATTTTGAGCCCATAGAACTCACCGAACGTGTGTTCAAAGTAAAGCCAGAGTTTTGGCTGCAGGTTTCTCAAACTCAGATGACATGAATGCCAAAGATAATATTTAAATATTGCCAAAAGTATCACTGAATTCAGGTTCCAGTCACCTCCATGGCCACAGGTGTATAAAATCAGAAACTAGGCGAGCAGACTGCATGTGCCGTGTGGTACCGTGATAGGACGCCGCCTGTGCAGCAAGTCCAGTCAGGAAATGTCCTCACTACTAAATATTCGTCAGTCAGCTGTTAGTGGGATTAAGGGACTGGGAACAACAGCAACCAGCCATGAAGCTGTAGGCAGTGTTGGAGTAACAGTTTTAAAATGTGGTATTCAGAATACAGTTACTTTGTTGAAATAAATGGATTACATGGCGGTCTTTTCCTGTTTCATATGTTAGGCTATGGTCTCTCTATCTTTGGTAATTCCACGCCTCAAACAAAACACGCATTAAGAGGCCTGTGTCTCAGTCTCGTGGCCCATGTCACCTCTACTACACCCCACATAATGAAGTGAAGAAATATTTTTTAAAATTATTATTTACAAAATGATTTAATATGAAAACAGGCAGAGAGTTACAGGCATCGCCCTGATGCATGTAGCCTGATGGGCAGTGTAGTCCGTGCTGCAGGGAGAATGGACTGCCATAC